TTAACCTAAATCCCATCACAGAGTCGATTGCCAGTCATTATAGGGAATGACTACTACCAGCTGCCCAGCCAAGTTGATACCTGACCTTAACTACCACACCACCCCAAACAGGCATGGATAATGGGATTTACAAAACACCACAGAATGGAGGACAATGGCTAGAAGGGCCACATCAAGCAATTCACTGCACTTCCTCATACCTAGAGTAGCTGGTTGTTGTTGTTTTTTGTTTGTTTTAAATCAAGTATATGTGAATAACTGCTTTCCACTGTGAGATGCTCTCAAGTAGAGATCATATCTGAATCTTTTTATCATTTTACCATTTGATTAGCAGAGTTCATTACCCTAGATACCCCCTGATCTTGTATTTGAAGCGTAACTAAATATCTAACCTCATCTTGTTTTCTTATGACCTGCCAATCATTTCTACAAAAGAAATATTAGCAAAGGGGTTTCTAGTTATCTGAGGTCCTATTTAGGTTAGTATCAGTGAATTTTGATTCCTTTTAAGATGCTGTTATCACCTCTATGAATCCATATGTTGCTGGAAGTTTTTGCTGTAGCACAGAAGGCACAGAATGAGAAGTCCTGAGTCTTGTCTTCCTTCCTAGATGCCATTTCTCAGATTTGATTTACCACTGAGAAGTCATTTAATCTATAGAAAAAGGCTTAAATTATTGGTATTATATGCACACAAACAAACAACATCCGGTCAACATTTAGTAAACATTATTGGTGGGAGTGAATGTCTGTGATCCGTTACCACTCAGGACAGAGCCAAAGAGAAATGGGTTTATGTTGCAGCAGGAGACTTTTGAGTTATCTACTTAGAAGAACTTTGAAACCATAAATGGCAATGAAATATATTCTCCCATGTGGGATTGTAGGATCTCTTTCTTTGGAGAGTTTAAAAAGAAAATAGAAGACAGACACAGAGTAATCTGTCACAGACACCTAGACACTATGGGAGAAAAATCCAATAGATCTACCGTCTCAGGACCATAGTGCTGGGGCACACCATACTCAATTGGCACAACAAAATACATAAAAGCCTTGTTCCATATCCTACATTGGTGAGTAGCAACTGGGGTCTTAAAAGCTTTCAAGTGGCCGTGTATGATGCAGCTAATGGTCTTCTAGTGTCGGAAATGAAGAAGAATGCAAAAAAGAAAAAAAAAAAAAACGGCATTTGGAAGCAATCAGCCATAGGACACGATGGCCCCTAAGACCAGAAGAACTAGATGGTACCTGGCTACCAATGCCATCCACTCAGGAAACTATCAAATCTGGAGATCCTGGATAGAGTAGAAGGAAAAATGTGGAACAAAATCCAAAAACTCAATAATGACCATAATTACTGGTCAGAAGAAGTCTGATGAGAACCCCAATACTATGGCCCTGGAATACATTCTGCATCTGGAATAAAACTCACCCCCAGGGGCTGACTCTCAGCCCAATAGTTAACAAGATGTACATGCAGACCACTCAACCCAGGGTGATGT